CTGGTTTGATCATACATTTAGTACAATCTTGAAATCTGGATGTGGATGATAATATTTTTATTATAGCATAATCCAGGTGAGTTTATAGCAGTTGTGTTTTGTTCTTCTAACTGCCGTCCTCTGATACTTTTTCTTCATCCCTTTATTTGAAAACCCTGTAGAGTTTAATGATTTAGTGGAAAACTTGGCACTTTATACAAAGCAATTTGTTAGTATCTATATGGAAATAATCTTTCTATGAGGTTTAAATTAGACCATTGTTTATACTGAGTGGCTTATTTCTTTTAAGTAAATGGTTACATTTGTCAAATCTACTGATCTAAAGATATCTTTTATATTAAAGTTTTATTTTTGTGCTACTTAAAAAGAATCTCTGTAGGAACTGCATACAAGTGAGGTGATTGTTGACCTTTTAGTTTAGCAATTGTGAACCTTGTGAAAGAAGCAAATGGGGTTCTAGCTAACTGCTCAATATAGCAAAAAATGGGCAGTGGACAATTAGAGGATGTCTTCCACAAATGTTTTAGAAATTTTAAAGGGTTTGTTAGAAACTTAGCACTGTCTTCTTTGGGATGAGGTTGTAGGTTAAGGTTGCTGATCAAGTAATGGCCATGTGGCACTAGATGATGAAATAAGGATTTCTGGTTTTAAGGTAGTAGTAACTTTGGGGATTTGTATTTGTTTACTGTGGTATTTAGGTTCTGGGGACCATAGATAGGCTTGTGAACTCTTAATGGACTATATTAAAGGAGAAATGGTGGCACACATGTGAGATAAAACTTTTATTTACATTCTTTTTAGTGGATATGAATCTAGCTCAGGATAATGCTGAAATTAGACTGCTTTGCTTATGCTTTCATGAAACAGTTTTTCATAATGGCCTGAATGAGTAAAAAGTTGATCAGAGGTGGCCTGAACCCCTAACCAGTGCTGGTTTTGATTTTGCTTATGTATTGGCTTAGAGTCAAGGTGGTTGGCTTTTTGATTTGACTTGGTTTGAAAACCTTGGACAGTCTTCCCTCTTCCAGTTTCCGTTGAACCTAGTAGCTTTTTTTAGTTCCCTGTGAGAGGAAAATAGTATTGGAAATAATTTCCACTGTTACTTCCATAAGCTGTGTGACCTTGCCAATTACAGAAATCCATACATGTTTAGTACTTTGAAATGTGGCCAGTGTCACAGATTTCTAAGGGACTTGCATCCACCCAATGTGTCTTAGCCTTTTTTTTTTTAAAAAAAGATTTTATTTTTTCCCTTTTTCTCCCCAGTGACCCCCGGTATGTAGTTGTATATTTTTAGTTGTGGTCCTTCTAGTTGTGGCATGTGGGATGCCGCCTCAGCATGGCTTGATGAGCAGTGCCATGTTTGGGCCCAGGATCCAAACCCGCGAAACCCTGGGCCGCTGAAGTGGAGCGCGTGAACTTAACCACTCGGCCATGGGGCTGGCCCCTGTCTTAGCTTTTTAAAAAAATAAATTAAGGGGATGTTTACCAAAAATTCACTATTGAATTCAACAAGTATTTTTCAGAAACTTCCTTATAGGAAGTTTGCCTATATTTTTGATAGTAACTAGAGGGACGCTTATCTTGTGACAGTCCCTAATAGAGGGACTGTTAATTTGGATATAAACAGTTTTAACTATTGCTGTAATTAACCACTTTTGTTACTGATACTGTCCCCAAGCTTTGATGTCACCTGTTCCACTTTGGATTTGGTTTAAATCCTTGAATGTTTTTAAGAAGAGTGTATATACACTAATTTGACCATTTTAAATGAAGATTTTATACTGAGAAGCTGGCATAAGGAAGTAGGGGAGAAGAAAAGGACTTCTTTTCTTTAAAGATTCAGTGCACACTTAAGTAGATTATTTAGAACACATCATGTTAAAAATAAATTGATACAGGTAGATGTTAGATTTTGAAGAAGTGTGGAATGGAGGTAGAACTTAGCTGATGGGATAAGAATTATTTGTGATTTTTATGGGGGAAAAATCATAATTTTAAGTGAGAAACACCAGAATATTTCCTTACAGTTTTTCTTCCTGTTCTGATTATTACCAAGAGACAGGAGAGGCTTCTAGAATTCTTTGAATCATAGAATGTTAGTGCTGAAAAGGACTAAGGTGATTTGTACAACCCCTTCATTTTTCAAAGAATAAATGGCTCAGAGAATTGGTTATTAGTACAGAGTCCCAAATTGGCTCATAGAAGTAACATGGAGCACCTTCACGTCTGTCCTAGGTTCACTGTAGGAAGCCAGAGCTGTTACAGGTCAGGATGTAGGGAGAAAAGGGAAGGAGCCACATTTTATATGCTTACCCAGTTACTTCTATGGCTCAGTTTTCATACCCCGGTTTTCTCTATTTTGTTAGAACTGACTTAATGCCCAGTTCTACCAGGGCCTTTTGTCTAAGGACATTAACTTGTGCTCCCCTCAGGGATGGGTTTACTACTAGCTGTCAGAAAGCTATTGGGTATCCTAATGTGTTAATAGCTGAAACTCAGCTGTAATTTTCTCCTAAATCCTTCAGCGTTTTGCATTCTGTACATTGTGGTGCTTTTTCCACCTTGTATTGTTATAACTGTAAGCTCCTAAGGGGCAGCAATTTGGTCTTAGGCATGTATCCTGTTCGTTGCCTGGCAGCGCCATGTATGTATCAGGGCCGTAATCTTCCTTTCCAGTGATTTCTCCCGTTCTTCCTGGATGTGATGCTCCAGCCATGCTGAACTACTTACTTATGATGGTTCCTCTAATAAGCCAGGCATTGCTGATTCCGTGGTTTCAAGTGCCTTCTCTTCCTGAAGATAGCCTTGGATCTGCATCCCCCCCTGCCCAATCTCTGCCATCAGAGTCATTGTTTTCAAGACCCAGTTCAAGAGCCATTTTTTTTTTTTCTCTAAGAGAGAAAAGATTTGCAACAGGAGTGGGAAACTTCTTTTTTGGGGTTGATCTGGCCAGAATTTGAAGTGAACAAATTCATTCTTATCTAACTTCCCTCGTTGTCCCTCTTCTTTGAGATTCTGTCCCAACCTTCATTTTTTAAAATCTGTGTTCCTAGAGCACTTTATACCTTTCTCCTAGCTCATAACTTAACCCTTCAACCTAGAATTAGAAGGGCCTGTATCGATTTTACTACCTTATTAGACCATAAGCTCCCTGAGGGCAAGGACTGGGGAATTAATCCCTGTATTCTGCCAGCAGATACAGTGACTTATATGGAGTTGAATAACTTAATATGTTTCTGTTTTCATTCTCACAAAGGAGGCATGCCTAGAGATAAGACCTAATTCAATAAATTTCAGGCACTATGACATTTCATAGTGGAGGGGATTGTTTGGAAATTTTGAGGGGTGGGCAGAGGAGGGAGGAAGTCACTGGTCATTTTGAGGTACTAACATCCCTAGTCTGGGGAATAAGCCCTTCCTTTCTCATTGTGCCCAGTATGTCTCAGGCACTTTGTTTCTATGCAGAAGAATTTTGTGTGCCAATTTTTGTTTTGCACAACTCCATTTCAGTTCGTGTCTTCATCCATGCCACAGGTCTAAGCCGTCTGCTTCCCTTTTCCTTCCTCCCGCATCAGTCTCCAGCTAAGTCCTGTCAGTTCTACCTCAGCAGTCTCTCATAGCTCTGTCCTCCTCACCCACAGAATTTCAGTGGCCTCTCTGCTTCCTTTACCTCTTTTTACCCTCAGCCTACTTTATACACAATATTAGACTCATCTTACTGAAACATAGCTCTGACCATGTATTCCACATGTGTGTTCTATCTCCCCTACTAGACTGTAAGCTCCTTGGGGGCAGGATCTGTGTCTGAGTCATCTTTGTATCTCCCATAGCACCTATCAATAAATATTTCTTGAATGAACAACATAAAGCCTTGTGTTAAGTGAAATGTTGTTTTCCAGATTATATGTAGGTTTCTTTCTGTGCTAATTGCAAGACTTCGAAAGTTCTCTCACATAAAAAGTTGGTTCAATAGTAACAACTGAGTTAACCACAGAGAAAATTTCAGAAAACTTTAATTTTTTTTTCCATTGGAATCAGCATGGATATGTGTATATGGATGGTTCAATAAATATATTTTTATATACATGTATCACAGAAATTTTACATTCCATCTTCAAACCGCAGAAATAGATTTTTTTTACAAGCCAAAAAATAACTGCCATAACTTTTATGATTTCATGCAAAAAAGAGGGAAGAGTAAGGGGCAAATGGGAATTGGTTGTTCAAGGTTAAGAGTCCAATAAGAAGTAAAAATGTTACATTAAGGAAGCGATTGCTTAACACGCTGCTTAAGGTGGTAGCCAGACAAATCCTTAACTGCAGCATTAAGGCCATACCAAGTTTACACATATATACAAAGGAATTTCCATATAAAAGACATACTGTCATGTTTTCTCCTGGAAAAGGACGAGGAGTTTTGTGAGTAATTCTGACCCAATTTTCCAGGCCAATTAATTGTTTAAGATGTCCCCAGGCTACTTAGAAATCTCTTCTGCTTTGGCTAGCTGTCGGTTACTGCTGTGTGGGCTTGTGACTTCTGTAGTCTCTTACGCGGACGCATGAATCATCTTGGACCTCTTCAATCATGGGTGATCAAGCACTTTGTAGCTGAACTAACTCAGCATATTTTTTACCTCCCCTCCCAAAAGTACTGAAATCACAGAATTATAACTTGCAGTTGTCTTAGTAGACTCCACAGCCAATCCTGGCATTGTGACCTAAAGAATTACATGGTACCCTTGTTCTGTTATTAGGGGTTAAAATAATCTTTGAATAGTTAACAGTAGAAGGAACCAAAGTGTGGGGTTTCAAGTCACATCCCTTGGAGCTGTTGAAAGTTAATATTGAACTTTTGGCCCTCGTGTCATGACACATGTAAGTTGGCAGCTACATTTGTGGAAAATGTAAAGTCACTTGCAGGAGAATTAGAACATGGAATTTGCTCTTCTGCCTAAACATCGAATCAGACAACTTTTAAGACAAAGGGTAGGTCTTGTCTGCAGATATCTGAGTGAAATGGGGAAAACATGATGGGCAAATCCTTTGGAGATATGCAGAAGTCATTTGCTTTGGCAAGGTTGGGGTGAGACTTGAGATTGCATACTCGGGTTCTATTTGCAGAAACTCACATCTTAGTGGATGAATCTTGAGTCAAAAAAACAAGTTACTAAGTCTAAGATAGATTATGTAAATAAAATACCCGTTTCCTCAGTGACTGACTGAGCCTTTATTTGATAATGTTATAATTCACTTTGGAATGTTTTGAATCAAAATCTAATATTGCTTTTTCATTAATGTCTTAGCTATGAATTGGATATCACTGGTAGGCCTGTTCGTCCCCAATTCTGTATGGGCCGGCCTCCATGTATGGCTCCAGCGGGCGGGTTCATAACAACTGTGGCTGCAAGGTAATTCGGTCTCCTCCCATGGGTTCCCGGGCCAGTCAAGTTTGAGAATGAGGTCTCTGAAATGGCCTGTCCTGGGGGAGAGGACTAAATTGTGATTTGGAAGCTCTTTAGTATATTTGACACTTACGAAGTGAGCAATCACTGTCCTTTCCAATGATGCACCAACCACTCTTCACCCAAAATGACTCTATTTACATTGCAGTAGTTTGCATCAGTTCTAGATAAAGTGATGTTAGCCAACAGGTCAATTGTGATGCCGATCCAGACAGACGTGTGAACATCCTTTGGCAACCTTACCTAGACAGCTTAAAATTATTAAGGATTTTGTCTCGGTCACTTGGTGGTTCACTTTGTACATTTCAAGTCTAATAACGGCAATGGAAGATGTGTCCAGTTTTTCAAACATTTGGAGGCCGTGAGGTCCCTGCTATGATTGTCTTGAAAGTAGAACTTGGCTGCTTAGCTTTTTTTTTTTTTTTTGGGAGAATATTGCACTATCATTTGTCTAATATGCACAAGAGTCACGTTGGGTAGGCATTTTATCTATGTCCAATAAACTAAGTAGCAAGATGCACTCCTTCAGGATTTAATTCACTCATCTCATTTTAACTATTGTTAGTGCTGAAAGAATTATAATGGATTAGGTTTTGGAAGATTGAACCACTAAAATTTGAAATAGCATGAGTTGTAAATGCCCTGAAATACATGTGAGAACATCCAGTTTTTTAGCTTCTTACAGACTATTGAGGCTCAGTGGCATGTTGAGCATGGTGCATCTTTAAATGAGGTAGAAATATATCTAATGTGGAAAAAAATTGAGTTTAGTGAACTACTTATTTGATATGTAAGCACCACTTTTAAAAAAGATTTGGGGCAATCTTTCATTTACTAGGGTAGGTAATACCTCTTTCCTCCCAATATTCTTTCTAAAGAATTTACCTAAGGAAAGGTAAATTGTTCTGAAAGAAACTATTCTTTTTACCTACTTCCACTAGCAATGACTTGATTAAAAACCAGTTGCATCTTGTCTTTATTTTTTTCAATTGATATTTGGCTTTTTTCCCCTCTATACCCTTTTTCCTTTATGGACGTGCTTTCATGCTTTGAATAGATAGATGCTCTTCAGGTTTGGAGAAGTCATTTCAGATGCAGCTGAGAGTAAAAAGGACATTCTAGACTGCTTTTCTTCCAGGTCAGCTCTGTTTAACATTTCAGGTCAAGAAAAGGTAATGGTATTTGGACCTTTAGGATTCCTTTAGAAATGCCTGCATTGTACTAAGTATTGGCTTGATATTTGACAAAAGACACACCCCTACAAGTAACTTTTTCAGAATTACTGTAGAAGAGTGAGCTCAGCATGGAACCATGACTATATTGTACCTCTATTATCCCCATTCCAGTGCCTGCTCAGCACAAACTAAACACTTAATACTTGTGGGCTTGAATTGATGCCCTTGAAGATGTGAATTTCTAGTGGGTACTATATCTACTTCTGAGATGAAGGTAAAGGTAAGTTCCCCCAAAATAGGAACAGGAAAGTCTGAATTAGGTTCTAAGTGTCAGCTAATGCAGAGGAGACAGGATGAGCTGCTCTGCCCTTGAAGGAATAACCTGTTGGTCTCTTTGAGAACTGCCTTACTCAGTAGAGTCGTGACCCCTTATTCTGCATTTAAGGTTGCTCCAAATCTTTCCAAACATGCCTACCATTCATTACACTTTAGCCAAATGGATAATCGCTATACCTTGTATGTGCTCCCTGTTTTTTACCTCCGTGTTTTTACTCATATTCCTTCTGCTGGAATACCCTTACCCCATCTGTTGACATCTCATCTGTTCTTTAAGGTACTACTGCTCAGATGACCCGTTAGCCTTGAAAATTTCCATGGTTTATTTTCTGCCCACTCCACGGCACCCTCCTTTCTCTGTTACATACTTCCTGCACTCCACATTAGTAGTTATTTTCGTACTTCTGTTATCCCCTTCTATGTTGTGAGAAAAGAGGCTGTGTTTTATTCTGATGCCCTGCTTTCATGGTACACTCCCTTGCCATAATAGATTTAATAAATTGCAGGTGGATGGATGACAGGTAGGGAGGGAGGTCAAACACAAAGTGGATAGAAAAACTGGAAAGAATATATATATTCTAGTCCTAGCTATGACACTAGTAACTTTTGAGACTCTCCTCCCTGAGCTTCCACTTGTAACTTGAACTTTGAAAGGCTAAGCTACTTTCTCCAGGCTGAGACACTTTGAGAAATCATCCAAAGGTAAATGGCAGTTACCTGGAGACCCGCTGAACCTGACTTGAGGTCACTAAGTCGGGTCCATTCAGAGTGCCGCTTTCCTCACCAGCGCCGGAGCTACACAGAAGGAGCTGCCCTGGCCCACAGAGCAGTAGCTCATGGTCCTGTTAGCCAAAGGCCAAGCTTCTGGGTGCAACTGAAGAGACATAGATGAGGCCAAGTGGGTCCTAGGAAACGCAGTAAGCAGAAGGCTTGTCCTGTGAACTGGCCTGGCTAGTTTGTACCCATCAGGTTACCTAGGGCATTATTACATCAGGAACAAAGGACTTGGAGATAAGCAGCAGCTTCTACTTAAAAAAATTTTTTGTGGGGAAGGGTTATGTCTATACTTTCCCCGTAATTACATTTCCCACTTAATTTCCAGAACCTGGATGAGGGTAAAGCTCCTTTACTGGAACGTTGGTCAGGCTGCTACTTTTAATACTTTTATTTCAATGATGTCTTATATGAAGAGGTGCTCCCTCTTGAACACTTGTTTCATTACCTGTGTGGATGAGACCACAATGACATAAATTCAGATAGTAAATGCTATGGAAAATAAACTTTTGTTTAGAGTCTGAGCTCACGTGTCCCACCTCCAAGGGACCTTGGAGCGTCCTGGTACACTATTTCTCTCTCAATTGTGTCTCGGCCGCCTCCTCTGTCACCGCCTCCCTTGGATTAGTATCCATATCCATCTCACATCTCACTTGAGCGCATTATAAGTTCTATAGTTAGGGCGGTGCTTATTCTTGGTTCCTGTGCTTTGTGTTGTTGGTAGTAGGTTCTTAGTTGAATGAATGTTTTAAAGGAATTCTAGACTGAGGAAAGGTCTAGTCCTGACCCTGGTTCCAGCCAGATCCAAGCCGTTCCAGCGGTCTCACACAGGGCTGCAACCAGGGAGTGGTTTCTCCCTCCACCCTCCAGTGCCGTCCGTTCCCACCCCGCCCTGTCGCCCACTCCGTGTACTCTCGCAGTTCTCTAGCCAGAAAGTGGCTCCACATGGACTCCAAATCCTTCCTGAGCCGAAAACTGCATCAGTACGCCCTCAACCTTTTAAGGTGGGCTGGCAGATTTAGATTGTTTATGACCAGGTTCTCAGAAGAGGAAGGCCCAGGATTGTCTGTCTGGTTCTTGATCAAAAAGATGTTTGATTTCCAGTCTAGCACAAGATGGCATTTAACAGCTTATAGGAGATTAAGTTTTTGTGTATTGGAGTGTACCTGGGCAAAAAGGGTCCATATTTTTATCAGTAGTTACAAAATTCATTTAAGATAAAATGAACCAATGGACGTCTCAAGGAACTAATGAGCTGCTTTTTAATGACAAAGTAAACTACCACATCAATTACTCGATTTTATCCTCGACAATTGGGGAGTATGGAACTTTTTACAGGTCATTGACTAAGGTCACAGGAGATGAAATGATTTGTGAAAGGTCAAAAACAGGTAAGTGGGAGAGGTAAACACACGTCATGCCTATTTCCAAATCTTAGCTTCCCGTTGTCTAGAGAATCATGTCCAAACTTCGGCTTTGACTTGGGCTAGTAAAATATTTTCTGAGCCTAAGTTTCTTCATCTATAAAATGAGAAATAAGATCAGGGCCATTGTGGGAATTCTATAATTTAAAGAGAGTGGCATACAGTAGGTGCTCAATAGCAGTATTATTGTGATAGTCAAGGTTTGTTCACCAGCTTTGCTAGTCTACATGTGATTGACACCTATTTGCAGAGCTTAATACAATGCCTTCTATTGGTACTCAAATGACATCTGTGGGGGGAAAGGGATGTAGGTGCTTGATGAGTGGAATCAGGCCTGGAATTTAGGTCTTGCAGTGCGTGTACAGGCTCTCAGGCAAGCACGGAGTAATTCACCAGGGAGAGGACCCTGGGGGCTAGTCATGAAATGTCACTGACTTGGCTGGCTGCTCTGTAGGACAGGTGGATTTGGCCTTTTGGGAGCCGGCCTCGATTCTGATAGAAGTCTCTTTGATGACCTCCTCTGGCAAAGAGAGGAAGAAGTAATAAGAGTTTCAGAGAAATTGAGAAAATAATGAGATGCTTTACAGTTTACAATGAAGGGGTGGAGTTAACATTCATTACGTCATTTTATCTAGACAATGGGCCTGTGATGTGGATAATATCATCGCCAAATACATAAAGAAACCGAGGGTGAGAGAGGTAATGGTATTGCTCAAGATCTCATGCCTACAGTAGTTGCCCTCAGCCTTCTAATGTGGAGCTAGTGTCCTTTCCTGCTAGGAAAAGCACAAATAGTTTAGAGAGGACGAGATGAGGAGGAGGATCACCTTAGAGCCTGGGGAAGGCCCTCTTGTTTTCTGCAGCTAAAAGACGACTGGAGAACTGGCCTTGAAAACATTACAGCTGGGAAAAGCTTTCCAGCTCAACTAATCCAATACTCAACTAATAGAATACTCCTGTTTCACAGATGGGGAAACTGAGGCTCTGAGGAAACGGGAAAATGTGAGTTTTACAGTGACTGTATTAATCACCTAGATTATACAGATACCACTTCACTATATTTGTTTTATCACATATCTATAGAGGTCCGTTTTAATATCACTCATGAATTTTTCAAGGGCAAAGAAGGAAGTGGCTATGGTCATGGGGGCAAGGGTAGGAAACAGTTTACACTATGGTTCCCATTTTATTATCCTGTGGAAAATCTGAAAATCTTTTTTAAAGTCTACTGATTTTTAACCTTGGGAATAAGAAAAAAGTTTCAGTCTGCAATACTCTCCTTAATTCCAGGGCCAGAGGAAGGGACAGTGAAGATCTTTTGCCATAATGTCACCCTATAAACATTTTGAAGGGATTCCATTGATGTAAAGCATAAATACATCCCTGTTGGGAAAGACAGGAGCAGTGTTTTCTGACTATAAGGAGGGTTTGTTGGAGCTACCGGCGTGTGGAAGCAATTTCAGGAACAACGTTGCCAGGGTGAGGTTTTGTTTGGGGTTGAGGGCTGGAGGGAGCTGGCCCCACTCCAGTCACACCTGCTATAATAATTTTCCTTTTCACAAGGACAGCCTGGCTAATGGGATGAATTTTGATGAACCTCCCCAGTGGTCTGGCGTAGTCCCACTTTTTCTGCCTGTAACTGCAGCTAGGGTAACAGGGACAAATGGGAAATCTTTTAAAATCTCGCTGGAAGTTTCTTGTTATGATTAACTTGTGTGGGGGGGGGAAACAGGGCTGGGAGGGGGCTTGGTCATTGCAGCATTTCCTGAGGGACATTTCACAAGTTCTGCTCTAACGCATTTCTTTTTGATTCTTCCAGAGGTTCTGGCAGAGAGAATTCAAACAACTGCCATAGGAAGTGGTTTCGAGCCTTCACAGGACACACATGTTAAAGTGCCACAGTGGAACCTTGTCCTGGTGTGTGATGGGATTCTCAGGTCTCGAGAAGCCCAGTCTTAGAGGCAGGTCCATCAGTGACTTTCACGGCAAAAAAATTAAGACTGTAATCTCCTTGAGGGCCAAGATTCCTCTTTCTTAACCCCTCCCTACATGCCCACTGGAAGGCCTGGGATGGGTTTCCAAGCCTGGCACTGACATGGAGAAATAATGAAACTTTTTATGTCACACGGTATACCCTTTCTTCTTTTCTTCAACCTATCAAAGTGGGAGTTTGGCTTTGAAAAATCTCCCTCGACTCCCTCTTTTTACAGGAGAGTGAGCAGGCCAAGCAAGGTGAAGTAGCTTACCTACGTGTCCATGGTGAGCCTGAGGTAGAGCCAGAACAAGGACCCACTTCCCATTGACCTCTGTCCATTTCAGAAGGCAGCGTGTTTAAATAGGATGCTGGATTTCTAAAGTTGCATAAGGGAACAGTTGAATCTGGAGAAAGGCAGGCCCAAAACAAGGCAATGCAGGGAACTGTGAAGCAAGGCAAGGGTGGGAATGGGAGAGCCGTTATGCTTGGAAGCTGTATGCAGCCAGCAAATATCTCTCATCCTCAGATTAGTTAGCTGGTACTGCTCTGTGGCTGGTTAATGGCTTTATGTGGAATATAATTTGCATCACAGGGCTCTCCAAAGGGCATATTTTTGGCTTGCCATTCTCTATATTCTGACTTCTCGACCCAATGTTCCAACGGAAATTTTCCAGAGCAATGAAATGTCACAATGCATGGGCAAGAGGAGAAATAGAAATCGCAGTGTTAAATGAGACAGGATCTACTACATCCGTTCTAGTCCCCCCATCCCCTCAGAAATAAATCAGCATCTTCTGGCAGAGTTTGGTGTCACAAAATGAGATGCACAAACTGATGAAACAGAGGAAATGCAGACAGAGAGAGGGAGGCAGTGGGAGGAGGCAGGGGGAGAGCAAAAGAGGGAAAAGTAATGATCTGGATGCTAGCTAAAGGAGCCTTAATGATCCTAAAAATTATTGGGCAATAATTTCTACTTTGGAACTCATTTTGCTGTTCCAAAGGATGATAAAGCACCTCAGTTATTGCTTTAAATAACCACATGGCTCCATCAAAACAGCACGAGATAGCACCCACGTATGAGCAAACCTATCTCCTGCCATTGCTGTCTTTACAGCTTGAGAAATCCTTAAGGAAGCAACAGGATAATAATTTGGTAGGGGCATCATCTAGTCTGGACCCTCAAGATTCTAGATTACTCAGGCCTGAGACAGATGTTTGCAGGATGCCTTGTCCTCCTTGACATCCTGATACCCTCAGCTAGGACAGTCCGAAAAGTCATTGCTTTTGTTCTCTTAACATTGGGCTGGGGCGGGGGAGGGCAGCATTTCAGGGTTTTTAAAAGTTTTTTATTTCTGCAGGGATTTCAACCTATCCAAGGATGTTCTCCCTATCCATCGGGATTGCAGGATACCGTGAGACCAAAGACTTTGCAACATGTGCTTTTTCTTACACTAATATAGGTAGTTAAGAGCAAGCCAGCTCAATCAAAACAAGGTGTATTTCTTTTTCTCTTTTCTTTGGTCAGGATAAGCTCTTGTTTCTGGCTTCAGAGAGCTGCAGGAAAATAGGAACGTTCTTGATTCAAATTTCTCCAGTTGGTATCTGAGAGAAGGAGCTTAGTTGAGGGAAAAAAGCTAAGTGATATTTTAAAAACATGCTTCCTACTTATCTATTTAGAGAATTTTTGATCTGGTTGTTCATGAATTAAAGATGCTTTATATCAGTGGGTAGAGGTCCATTTACCCTTTCTCAACAGACCTTACCAGCCCCTCGGAGTGCACACTTTCTAGTCAACCTGAGAAACAGCCCATAGAGAAAACCCCATCTTGCCTGCCTCTTCAGATTGGGGTGGAGGGCGGGTAGAGTGTGCGAAGGGGGTGCTCATTAAATAAATATGATAGCTTCCAGAGTGGTATTCATCATTCCTGGGCTGGGCTTCCAGCCAGACTTGGAAATAGCTGAAAATTTCAGATCTCAACCCCAGTCCTAAAGCTGATACAAACAGTACCCTCACCAGCCCTCTGCTTGCCAGCTTCTTCTACTAAGGAGTCAGTTACTGCGGAAATGATGATAACTCAACTCCCTTCAATTTCAGTGCATTGCAATTAACTAAGGAATCCAATTTTCACAAAAACCTGACTGTTATCAGTGATGGTACCAGCTTGGTCGGGGCACCAACCTACTCTGCAATCTAATATCATGCAGCCTCACAAAACATCATCTCTTTTTTATGATGCTCATAAAAATGCATACTTTGAAGGAAAGGAACCACCTCCTGTCATATTTATTTATTGTCTTCCCAGTATGAAAAAAATAGCCTATGAAAAATATTGGTGAGCTTCCTAGAGGGATCCATTTCTTATTTATTGATGGCTTACAGGAAGAAATAATTTGGATCAAATGACCTTCTTTTGTCTTTCTAGATTTGAACTAAAACTAGAGTTAAATTCAAGGTATTACACACACACACACACATTTTCTCTTTCTCTTCATACCTGTCCTTGGTCATTCCCTATCTAGCCTTAGCCAAGAATGGACTCTTGAATATTTGAAAGGACCAGAGGATGGCAGAGCTGAGCCATTTATTTTGGCTGCTCTTGAAACAAAGGAGATACTTTGTAAATTAATAGATGACAAGTTATTGTTATTATTATCTGTCTGCTTAATTGATATCTCCTAAATTTTGCTCCTGGGAATAACTGCAGTTTTGGAGGTGGGTGAATTCACCAGCTCCTCTGTGCCAGTATCCGCTTCTCCCTCCATGCATAAATACTGGTCTATACACGTAAAGGGTTTGAAAACCAGTAAACTACTCATTACGCTTAACTCAGTTTTCCCCTTCCCATAGCACTTGGCATGTGTGCCTCAAGGCATTATACCTCTGTGCTCAGATTGAAGAGGAAATTAAGAAAGTGTTGTCCTGTTTGTTGGAGATACCTAAAAAAAATTTGGTCTAAATACTCTGGTTTGAGTTTCTATAAGGATGAAATCCATGTAATTTATTGCTAAATCCTTATACATTATACATTAATGATGATCTCTTCTCCTTGAGCACGCTCCATTTCTAGTTCGTGATAGTATTTTTCACTGTATAATGATCGATGTCCCTTCCCTACCACAGTTCACCTTTGATAAAGTGGAGCGAAAGGAAAAGCGAATCTGCAAGTTTTCCAAAGCAGAAAAGCAAGAAGAGCTGTGTGGGTCCCTGTAGGCGTGCGGATATATGTACACGTCCACTGGAGGGTTCAGAAATCAAAGTGACTTTCAACTTTTCTCTGTGTAAACTTCCTATAAGCTGGTTCAAGAACAGTGAGCTGGGAGGGAGTTCACAGAACCCCTGTGCCACTCTCCCATTGTGTATGTAGAGAAACTGAAGCTTAGTCCTTTACCGCAGGTCACCCTGCGTATTAGTGCAGGACTAAAATTCAGATTCTCATTTTCATGGCTACAATGCATCCTCTCACATTATTTTCCACGAGGGATACCAAGTTTGGAATAGGCTGAGAGAAGATTTCAGTGACATTCTCCCTCTGTGTCTCAAGGAGATGATTCTATTGTCTGTTGGATACTGTCAACCACACCTGGCAGCTCCCAGTGGGCCCACAAGTTGAATATGGTGGCAGAAGTTCAAGGACCCAGCAGAGTTTGGGCACATGGCCCAGTGATTTCTCTGTCTCGGAGAGATTCCAGATGCTTCACACAAGGAGCCCAGTTAGAAGTCTGCAGATTTTGCTGTTGGAGTGCAGGCAGAATCTCCTAGAACAATTGGTACCGTCTTTAGTCCCTGATAGAGGCCTCGCGCCTTTGTTGCCTGACTCACGCAGACTTCAGACATTCTGAATTTAGTCCAGTAATGAGTGAAGCAGAGAGAAGGGCTTCTTTAATTTTTTTTAATTAAAAAATAATTTTCCCCCTAAGTAAAGTGAATAAAGTGCTAGTGAAAGGGGCTAATAGCCTCCCCAAAGACTCATGCACCACTTTAGAATTGAGGGTTTTTCCTCCCTTAAATAAAGTGAATACAGTGCTAATGAAAGGTGCTGATAGCGGTTCAAAGATTGATAGTCTAGTCTTGAATGGGTAGTAGTTGCTCAAGTCCCTCTATTTAACTTTTCCTCCTTTAGAGACATGTTTGTGGTGGGGAAAGCATGGGATTAGACCAGAGACTCCTACCCACTTGGCTCCCATCCCTCAATGCTTCTTAGAGTAAAGGATTCCAGGTTCCAACCCCCATCGTCCAAGTTTAGACTACAGTTCAGCTTTCTGGTCTACAGAGGCCAAGAGAAGGGAAGGAAATGACTCATTGACCTTGGAACCTGGCTGTAAACAGCTTTATCATTCAAGCCTGGAAGGCAAATCCTTTTTTGGCTGCATAGTGCATTTTCTTTAAGTCCCTCTGTCTCCTTGTCATGGCCTGCTTTTTTGGGCCTCTATGAGCGTGAGCTATTGTGCCCCAGGGGATGGGAGAAACTTCCCTAGGGGCAGGTGCTTCAGGGAGGAGTTAGGCTCCCAGCGTCTCCCCTCTGTACTGCCCTGAGTTGGGGATACTCCAAAGATACAAGTGCAACCCCAAGCCGCAGTACAAACTGGTTGTCGCCTGTGTCTCACCATCTACCTACTTCTTTGATCCAAAGCCTATACGCTAAAGTGCAAAGAAAGAAATTGACCCCCGGTATTCTGGTCATGGGCCTGAGCAGGAAGAATGCCACAAACGATGGTGCCATCATTTCAGGCGTAGTAGGGTTGGCAGAGTGGGCAGAGGCTTCGGGAGACGGCTGCCCTCTAATTCCGCCACCATGGCCCACCTTGCAGACCTCCCACCTGTAAACACCCGGCTCCTCCAGCAGGATCCCCCACCCCTCACAATTCATTTCCTAGTCTCTTTCCTTTGTCCTGGAGTGCCCTAGCTATCCTACGATAGTCCTGGCACTTCAGAGCTAGAAGGAAAGAGAAATATTTGTCTAACTTTCCTACATGTTAAAGCTAAACAAAGCACCAAAAAGAAAACAAAAAAAGACTTACAAAAATATAATGGGGTCATCCCCCAAGCTTCCCACATTATCTGTGGTATATGAAATGTCAAAATATAATGAACAGACTTTCTAAACATTACTGTCTCTCTCCACCCGTATTTATCTAAGCTGCAGCAGCCTCAGCACTGCCCCTTCACCTCTTAAAACTTCGTGCTGTAGAACTACTATATAATAAATCTATTTCATCCCACGGACCCCACCTTCACAAACACACACCCGCTTGCAATTCTAAAGAGACTCTCCAGAAAAATAGACATTTGGAAAAAGTACATCTGTTATACTCAGTCTATCTGCATATTATTTCTTGAGATTATTACTTTTTTTTAACTATAAAAAAGATTGCATATTGGCAATATAATGAGAAACCCATGGCAGCCATTTCTGGGTGGTGGTGGAGGATAAGTGGGGTGGATGTTGGAACACAGAAGCGAGAGGGCTCAGAG